ACGTAACACGTAATAAACGTAACATTTGTTTTCTCTTATATACTTTGAACGAAGAAACGTAAGAACATCTGAAATTGACGTTATTACGTTTCTTACGTAAGAAGCTCATCATTACGTTTATTCGCAAGCAGAACGGTATTAAGTTATACGAATAATCGATTCTTCGTAATGAGACATAATAATGAAGTGAAGAGAACTAAAATGAGACAGTTCTTCTTTCTGCCGCTTTGTATACTTCACATTAAACGCATTCGTTCTATTCGACTTCATTACGGCCCATCTCTAATTGAACGAGGAAAGAAGAACAACTGCATATGTTTCTTACTGTTACTTGGACGAAAAAAAAATCTATATTTCTCCCTTAATTAATTGGCTTGCAAAATGAGAGATTTTTTCATTTACTTTTCATTAATTAATCTGATGATCAAAAGTGTTAGTTTTTGGTGATCATTTCGTAATGAATAAATTTGGTGATCAAAACACATTTTTCACCTTTTTCTGTGAGACCTGTAGATTCGACACAATAATCTTTCTAGTTAAATCATCATCAATTATATATATATCTTGCTATCTGTCCAACACATTTGTTATATCCTTCTTAATTATTCCTCTTTTTTCGATGTATTATCAAGACGTATGTGTATTGTTCTGAACAAATAATCTTACTTATACTGTACATACGCACTCGTAATAGTATTATTTCAGACTCATCTCACTCAAAAATATACAATGGCATTATCATCAACTTTTGAATTCAGACTTCGATCAGAATTAAAACTACGGCATTAATCTTGGAAATCAGAAATCGACAATATTCTTGAAAAATAAAACCAGATGATGAAGGTTATAAACTCAATGAATCTAATGATCTTCAAAATTTTACTATACATGGTTTAATGAAAAACCATTGTTCATCATAAATAATTAATATAATATATCAAGATATTTATCAAGTTTAAATGCATGTAAATCTATTCCATGTTCAGATGAATTTGGATATAATTTTTGAATTTATATTGCCAAGAAATCAATGTGATTTTCTAATAGTTGATGTTTAAATTGTTCTATGTCCTTTCTGATATGCACAGGATATTTTGCTTTAAAAATTCGATTGATGTAACGATGTATTTCTATTGTTATCGGGTTTAAATATTCTATTATTACGTTTGTTGCTTCGAATATATGATCTAATTCAGCTTTATCATTTAACACATTCTAAAATATTAATAAATTTTATTTTATTTTGTAGCAATGCTTTACAATTGAAGATTTATCAAATAAATGTAATTTATTCCAAGATATATGATAATTTTTTAGTGTTATAATTCTTATTGAATAAAGATTAACTTTTTAGTCATGTTGCTGTTGTATTATATGAATCAGACAATCTAATAATATTTGAAAATCATACTAATTAATTCAATTAATCAGTGTGGCCAGCTAACTCTGCTACTGTACGGGAATTCTGTAACGTTTTTTCTTCATTTTGTTATGTCGATATATACCAAACTAAACCCCGCAGAAAGTCACGAGACGTCTTCAATAGAAGAGAAAAGTCTTGTGAACTTTCTAGGATGTATTTGCACTCTAGAAAAATGTCTCTCTCTGAAGATCTGAATAAAACATTGAGTAACTTATTACTTTTCAAAAATTAAAATTTTTTAGAATTGAAAAGTAGTACTCAATGTTTTATCAAGATCTTTAGAAAGAGACATTTTCTAGAGTGCAAATACATCCTAAAATGTTCACAAAAATTTTTTCTTCTATTTAAGACGTCTCGCGATTCTGTACAGGATTTGGTTTGGTATATATCGACATAACAAAATGAAGAAAAAATGTTACAGAATTCCCGTACAGTAGCAGAGTTAGCTGGCCACATCGTAATACAGCTTTTAGCTCATTAGGAATAAATGATAATGATATATTTATTAATAGTTGTTCGTTAACATATCACTAGAGATTTGTTAATTCATAATTTGATACGATTTTTATAAGTAACTGAATAGTTGAAAAATTAGTTCCTTGTTAACGTTTAATTAAGTATTGAATATATCCAATAGAATGTAAGCTTCTAGTCCATAGGATTGCATTGTAAAACCTTCATTCGCATCCCCTGTTGAATTAATAATAGAAAATAATTGCCACATTTCATTCTTATAATAATCAAGCGATATTGTAAATAATTTCATATAATGTTTATGCTCATCAATTAATAATTTATAACACTTTATTTCAATATCCAGTTTTTATTAGTAGATGATTGTAATGTAGTGATGATCATCTTGACCCAACGGCTTAGAAGTTAAACCTATCCGAGTTGCATAATCATTTCTTCGATGTTCAATGTCGCCATATTCGTCTAGTATTTCTTTGTAGAGTTCGATAGTTTCTGAGGCTGTTCGTTCAATGGGAAATCCGGATTCTATCTTATGAATATCTTTCCATTCAGAAGGTGTTGAATAACATAACAAACAATGAGCCCCATGAAGTCCAGATTCAAATGTTCAAACTTGAAAAATTAGGAAAGATGCAAGCGTTTGAATTAGAAAGTGGCGAACCCTTCTTATATAAGGCTTCAGGAAAAGGTCGTCGCGCCGGGACCAAGCAAAACCAAACCTTTGCTTAGATATTATTCTGTAGAGGATACTTTGGACTATCCATCTATGGAAACAGAACGATAGATTACTATGTCGGTTCCTGAAACCCGAGTTGGTTTTCCAAAGATTTAGTAGAAAACAAATCTTCTGAAATGTTTTCGAAAGTCAATTTTATTCTGTCTTTATTGTTTTTTAGTTATTCAAAAAACAACTGAGTGCATTATATTTTCGGATGGGTAGTAATACTCAGTGTTTATTTAATTTCTCACCAACACAATAACGAACAAATCTGGCAATTTATTAATATTTTATTTATTATTATTAATTATTTATTAATTATTAATAATAACACCCTGAACACTTTAATTTTTAAATGGATTTTTTTTTCGAAGTTTTTTTGATGGAAGTAATCTTATTCTTTCACTCGTGCCAGTATTTGCTCATGAAGAGATAAAAACGAACTAGTTGTTTTGCTACTATATTTTTATAGAGCTCATATACCCATGTCCTCAAAACCGAAAAAGTACCGCTCGGTTACCGCTTTCTCACCGTTCAGCACCCCGGCCGCTATACCGGTAGCATAACCGAAATTATCGCACGGTGACCGGGGTCACCGTTCAGTTTACCGCCGGTATAACCAGAGGTACCGTCCGGTATTTGGTCAATATGAACAAGTAGAACGGGAATTCAAATCTAATTTTTAACTTTCTTTTTCTTTATTGAGCGTTTGTAAGCGTAAGGAGACTCTCGACTGAGAGAAATTTGTCTCGAATCGAAGCTCAAACTATGACGAATCTACATGATCTAAAAGAAAAGTTTAATCTGTAAAAAATAATCAAGTTTTTTGAATTTTTCTGTGTATATGTACTGACGACTGTAAAACAAAAACAGTAATCGTCCAATATTTTTCTGTACCGCGGTCTAATTATGGTCGCTTAACCGTGCGGTATGCCGAGGGGTGCGGTTTACCGACGGTAGTTTGTTGAGCCGGCGGTAACCAGTAGTGTTTTAAAACATAGCTCGAAAAATTTCTTCAAATAAAAAACAATAACTCACCTATGTTTCACTTACATGACTTAATGATCATATCAGTCTTAAAATCATTAGTTATCGATAAACTATCTGAAACACTTCTTTTATTCAAATTAAACCTCGCCAATCTAATAGATGGCGGTAGAGTACGATTTAGTAATTATATTTCATTATCTCAATTTCGTAAGAATATTAGTACTACAGTTATGGATATTCTTTTTCCACTATACAACAGAATATTACATAAAATTTTATATTTTTTTAGAGGTTGTCAGTACTGATTAATGGCAGAAGGAAACCAATGATATATACGAAAATTTGTTCTTTGTAATCATAAAAAAAGTAAATAATGGAATGAACGAGGTGTCATAGAAAAAATGATCTCTTCAAATTCTCTCTCATGTGTGCGTCGTAAGAAAAAATTCATCTGTTCTTTTAATCGATTCTCTTTTTTAGTAATAAGCAAGTTCTTAGAAGTATAGAATTCTAACTCTTTACTTTTTATAGCTTTTCAAAATAGCAGTTTTTACTTAATTTGAGTCACAGATCCCTCTACGTCATATGATGCTGGTTTATAATACAATCTATGCTTTATGTAAAATATGTATTTTGCATGATAAAGAAGTATGGATAGTACCTGTATATATACAGAAATAGTGTTATTGACCTCGATCAAACAGTTTACAGATCATCTGCTTTTAGATAACTACAGTGTTTTTAATAGGACTTTTTTTCAGAGTGGAACTTTCCATTTTGCTGTTAGCATCAAAATGGGATTTATCACTTTGATATGAAATATAAAGCGGACAAAATGGGAACTGTTGATTTTTTTGTCTAATAGCGGCTAAAAGAGATTTTTTATCGTCACAGGAGCTTTCGTTTATCACTTTCAGTTGAATGGACTGAAATTAACTTTTTCTACGCGTAGCCAGAGGCAGGGACTGGTCCATACTTATGATCTGAAAAAATGATTTTAAATCCCGTCAGAAAAAGTTGCTAGGTGATAAGACTTCACACTATCCCTGAAGGCAAAAAAGCCTGGCTACGGGCCTGCTACTCTGATCAATTACAAATTTACCTGCAAACACTTTAGATGACTCATTTAGAACAAAATGTAGCTACACGAATAGCTGTAATTTGAACACTTTTGAAGAAAAAGAAACGCTGCAAAACTTTTCTACGTTTGGATAGAAGTCAAAAATCCTTTTTTACTAATATCCTGTTGATGTTAATCTTCAGACGCTAGCCATGTCGTATTGTGATGAAGATTAGAGGATTAAACAAAAATTATACTAGTTCTCAACAAAGAGATTGATGGGTTAGTTTGCTGAGGCAGAAAATATGAAAAAAAGATAAAGTGTAAATGCTCAAAAACAAAGTGGAATATACTTTTCTCAGCGTGGAAAACAGAATTGAAATTTAGTATTCAAATTGGAAACCCATTTTGTTCTCGGTTGCCCCACTAATCATTAAAAACACGGGATAGGTATAACAACAAACGCTTCGTGGAAATCGAAAATATAGGAGATTTTTAAACTTAAAAATGAAACCAAAGTTGTGTGACGTTACCTTTTCGTTTGATTTTAGATAGCTTATCATTCAAAAATGTTTCGTATTCCACAACTATGTCCAAAGACAACTGCTTTAATCGTTACCAAACGTTTACAACAAACAACACCAACATCTTCATCAAAGTCATCGCCGTCATCTCAAACAAAAACAGCGTCCAGTGATGAAACACATAACGCAGCAGTCAAACGAACAACACAGGCGGGCACAACAACAACGCAAGCGGATACAACAACAGTCAAAACTTCTGGTAAAACAGATGGTAGAGCAGACTATCCAGCAGATGGTGGAAATCGTTCGAATGTATTAAAAATGACAGGCTACGCTTTGGCAATAGGAGTAACAACTGCACTCGTTTATGCCGAATATGAGAATGGAAAATTTCGTCGTAAGGTAGAAAAGACTATTCCACTATCTGGTACATTATTAGGCGGTTTAGACAAGATTATTGATCCGGTGTTTGGTCGTCGCAAAAACATCATTCAGACAATCTCAGATGAATTGCCTGATATGGCTAAAGTAAAAGAGGGGGCGAAAATTGTTCGTGACCAATTGCCCGAATATAAAACGGTGAAAGAAACAGCCAAAGATGCAGCTCATGCGGTATATGAACAGTTGCCCGAAAAGAAAACCGTTCAGAAAACTCTAGCAGCGACTAAAGAAGGTGCTAAAGATGTTGCCAATGCTGTTTACGAACAATTACCGGAAAAAAAGACCGTGCAAAAAACATTGTCATCGGCTAAGGAAACAGTCAAAGACGCAGCTAATGCTGTGTATGAGCAGTTGCCAGAGAAGAAAACAGTGAAAGATACACTATCAACAGCCAAGGATCAATTAAAACAAGCAGCTACCACTGTACAAGCGACAGTGAAAGACAATCTTCCAACGGGAACTGGTCGATCCGGTGACAAAACGAATGATCCAATGTTTTTAGATGAACCTGGTGCGCCGTTAGCACCGCCCCCAGTACCCAGTGATAAAAAGTAAGTGAAAAGAACTCTCCTCTTGCTGAATTTATCGTAAATAGATGAAGCTTCACTGTTAGAGACGTAGAGCAATTAGATCTGGAAATCAGCAGCAATATAATTTTAATCTAGATTCTCGGGCTCAATAAGTCTAAACATAACCTCATCAAGCTAAAGTTTTGTTGTTGTTGTGTTTTAACGCGCACATCTGAGAGATAGAAATCTCTCATCAATTTTCAATTTATTCTTCAAAGTTTCTTGTGGCTCTCTTTTAATCATATGAGTTTTCATTTACTTTTTTGCTGTCTTTTATAAAGTGTTTCATTTTCCATACTTCTACTAGTTTTTGAAAAAGATTTATGTATCAAACTGCTATTTATCAGTAGGAGTGACACTTTACCTTTACTAGTAATGAGTAACTCATTTCGTAATCTTAATCCTCAGTAGGATGTATTTTAACGCTTCATTTTACATAGCACATTCAAGAAAAGCTTTAAAAAGACTATATCCAACGTTTTGACGAGTGTCATAAACAAAAACAAAATGTAAAAAAAATTTGTCATTCAAGCTCTTGCAACATCTTGAGCGGCTTCATTCAAGATCTTGAAATTTCTGTTCCCAACATCTTGAGTGAAGTAAGCCAAGATGTTTCAAGATCTTGAGTGAAAGATTCAAGAATTCAAGATCTTGACTTGATGTTTTTTCCAAGGTCTTATGACATTTCTTAACCCAATATCTTGGGTACAAGAAGTTTCACTAGGGTATTACATGAAATGGCAAATAGTCGATTGAACTGTTTGAATTTTGTTCTACTAAAAAACTACTTTTTTTACCTAAGAATTTCTGCGCATGAAAACTTTAAAAATACTGCACCATATCAAATTTAATGGACCTTTCCACTTAAAGTAATTTTTATCCCTTGACACCAGTTCTAAGAATGACTTTCTGTCTCAATTTAGACATTCTTTACTATGAGTCATTAGACAGCTTCTCTCCCCTGCTTTTTGCTCTATATATCGACATCGAATTTGAAAGAAGAACGTATTTGATGAGACTTTATGTTGTTCTCTTGAACGATCTGACCATTGTTTACTCATGATTAATAATCTATTTTCCTGTTTTCTTTATTTTAGATCAAAACTCAAATGATTTATATCAACTAAAAATTAGGTTAAAATAGAAACACTATACATTGTGCTGTTTTTTAATCGTTTCCTAGTTTATATTCTACAAAACCATCTTTTTTGTTTTTTAAGATTATATAAATCAAGCGTCTCTCTCTCTCTGTTTTATGTTTTTTTTCTAGTATGTTTCTAATGGTATTGAATAAACAGATATAGTGAAAAAAGGGTTTCGAGACTAAAAACAAGACAATAAGTTGTTTCTTTTGAAGACACTTTGCGAAAATATTGAATGTTCATGACCTAAACGAAGTATCCACCCAAACACGGTTATCCAAAAATTTTTTGATCATTTTCTTTTCCTCTAAGACATTCTAGTAGAACAGAGTCTTTTAGAATTCACGGCTCTTTCTCTTATGTTCATTGATGTTATCTAGGGAAAAAAATCTTTAGCTATAGCTCAGTGCTGATTGTATTGTCATTCACATCCGTATTAATCTGTTAATATATAGATTCGACGAGAGAAAAATTCATCGTGCGAATACTATCGAAAAAAAAATAATTTTTGATAAATCGTTCATCTAGTGATACTCCACCTCATGAGGGAACCGATTTAACTGTCAAAGCGTTTTTTCAATGAGACCTAGTGGATTATAGGTTATCGACTATGCTGATTCCGAATATGACCATGGCAGTTGCTTCTAGATCTTCAGTGATCCGGTTTTGGGAAAATCAGTTTTTCAGACTATAAAAAATAGCCCAGATCCTTTTTTAACGAGCCACAACTGTAGTCCGAAAATTTCTGATTAAAATGAGACATCTCCCAGCTCTACACAACCTTTCTCTGCAAAGTTCTAGAATTTACAAGAAAAGCCTTAAATATTCATTGTCAGCTCAAAGCTACCGAAATAAGAAATTAATGTAGAGCTTTTCTTGTAAATTCTATAACTTTCAAAGAAAGGTCGTGTAGAGCCAGGAGACGTCTCATTTTAATCAGAAATGTGCGCGCTATAATTGTGCCTCGTTAAGAAAGGTCTTAATTATTTTTTAGTTTCTGAAAAACTGGTTTTTCAAACCAAACAGATTATGCAATATGTTTTGGCTTTGTGAGAAGAAAATGGTTGCGTATCAATGCTAACGGAGCTTTTTTATATAGTCGTCTTTTCTGGAGTGATTTCTATTCTGATATCTTTAAAAAATTTTGGTTTACAAAATGGAGAGAAAGAAAAAAAATATCAAACGTGTGCTAGAGAGAATGAATAGAATCTTCTGGATTCGAAATGTGCAAGAAATTTATACACGATGAACAGAGAGAGAAAAAGAAAAATACAAGTTAAAAGAATTATTGACGACACGACAGATGATGATAGGAAGATAGATAACAGACCTAGAAAAGAGAAAAATGCACATACTACATAGACAACTACTGATGACTCGCCATGCAATGATAAGAAATTTCTATTGACCACAAAAATACTTTTACCGCAATAAGAATCGAGGTCACATTGTAACTATCACTACAAGAACAGACGATACTATGTACGTGGCAGGGTTGCCAACTCAAAAGCTAAGAAATCAAAAAGAAAAACCTAAAAATCAGAAAAGCAAAGGGTCAAAAATCAGAAGACGTACCGTTTTGCCCAAAACACAGAAGAAACGGTTACATCTTAATTTTTTTTAAAACTGATCCTCATCCGATTCTTTTTTTTATTAAATCTTGACCTTTCACAGTTTTAACAGATTTATCTAAATCACTTTTTTCTCCAGCACGAACGGAAATGTCCGTGTTGCAAGCTGAACATCTTGCTGTAGTGTCATCATGATTAGAGATGCACCGGTTACAGTTATAACCGAACAACCGATAGCAGTTATAACCGGTTATCGGTTGTAACCTACACCGGTTGTAACTGATAGTTATAATCCGTGTTCTCAGAAAAGTTTTATGACAAATAATTCTAAAATTTCAGCCTTCGTTTTTTATACTTCTTCTATATTTCAAATAAGCAAATTAAACTATTTCTTGAAATAAATTTATTTATTACGGTGTAGACAGCAAGAATTGCTATTTTCACAGTAAATGATGTATCTCTTAAGAAAATGATTGTTGATGTCAATGGGTTACAGAGTTTAATGTCTTTTTTTCTCTTCTCGTTTCTCTTCGACATGTTATAAACATTTTTTTCTAGAAGAATCTTATTATTTTCTTTATCTGTCCGTGACCTTTTCTTTGTTTCTAGTCGACGACATATGTATAATAAGTGTGGCGCATCAGTATAGCCGGTAGCTAAAGACCAATGACTCATCGTCTTTACAAGCTACTTTTCACTGTAACGGTCCCTATCCTTATGCTGGAGCACTTTGTGATTATATTTTGTCCTAATGGCTATTTTGATATGACTCAAATTCTTCTTATAGCCGTCGTTCGCGGTTTCCATTTGAAAAGTATTTAATCAGCCTCTCTGCTAAATATTCAATGTTACAGAAAGTGACTACTCGATTATGGTGGAAGAAAATAATAAAACAAAGGATTTCTTTTCGGATTTTCAGTCACTGACTGCTCGTTACTAGAGAAACGGATGATAGAGGGTTCTCAACTCTCTCATTTTAAGTTTGTTTGTCACAATATAAAGGAAACAAACTTCTGATATAGGAATTACTTGAAAATTTTTAATAGAAGCCCTCAGACTGCATTGGGAATTTTTTGCTAATCATAAGCGGATAGCCTGTAATATCAGCTACAAATCGAAAAAATTGGGCTGACATCAGTGACTAGTATGTATAGTCACTGTTGTGCGTCGAGAAATCGGCGGGATCGATTACAACCGCTCATCGGTTAACCGTAACCGGTGCATCTCTAAATCATGATTAACTGCTAGTAAAAGTTCTGAATATTTTGAATGTCTCAACCAATCTTTCTTAAAAACGTCTTTTTGTTTTTTCACTCCACTTTTATTTTCTTTGTTTTCAAACGAACCTAAGAGAGCTTTAGTGCGCACAACGTCAGTTGACAATTCCATCACATTTAAGAAACGGGCTAATCTAAAACGCGTTGTTTGTGTTCCAAACTGTTCGTTTGCAAACTCATTACCAACAACCCTCTCATTCGTGAAGATAATAGTGGAGCCGTATCAAATAAGAGATATCTTCTTTGCTTTTCTGTCCTGCACATGCCTCACATTTCTGACACAACAAAAGAAAGAAACAGAACGAACTGTGGGGTCAGAAATGTGAGGCATGTGCAAGACAGAAAAGCAAAGAAGATATCTCTTATTTGATACGGTTCTAATGTTATGACTGGACTCGAGCACATCCAATTAAACCAATAACTCAAGTCGTGTAGACATACATGGAAATATTACGTCAGCCTTTTCCCCAGAAACCATCTTCTCCAGCATTAATTAAAAAAGTTAAAAATCGGAAAATCAGAAAGCAATCAGAAAAAACCTCCAAAATCAGAAAAATTCTGATAAATCAGAAGAGTTGGCAACCCTGGTTCGTGGGAAATATAAGAAGCAACGTATGATAACTAAGGCCTTAAGAAGGTTCTTTGATCAAACGGTATTAGAAAGCTAGTCAGCTTTGTCCAAAAAGGAGGAGAAGGAGGAGAAAATGGGCAAAAAGAGGTAAAAAGGTGAGAAACTTTTATTTAGGAGGAAAGGAGGACGAGTACGATGCCAGTTTTCAATGTCAAACAGTTCATTATATAGAGAATTATCTGCTCTACAAGATAAGCTTGTTGAATTTTTCGAACAACTCGGTATTACTCTGTAAAAGCAGTTTTAACGAAAAAAACTCAGTTTCCTAGTTTCAAAATTTCAATAAACTGAGTTTTTTCCAATACTAGATTTTGCGGCTGACACTAGAAAAATAGTCTGTTTTGTTCAGTTTTTTCCACACTTCCGACCGATATATAGCTCAAAATTATAAAGCTCAGAACGAAAGAGAAAAAATTAAAATACAAAAACATGTGATGTGAGTGATTTTTGAGAATTTTTCTTCGTAAAAATTTCATAAATCGGTAAGAAAATGTTTCTAAGGCTTCAAAATTGGAATTTTTGAGTAATTTCCAACGAAACAACGAAGAAAACTATATTTCATTTATACACGTCCTGAAAGAAAGAAAAATCAGCTTATACGTACGTAACAAACGTAATTTGTACTAAACGTAACAGTAGTTATCTCTTATATCTGTTGAACGAAGAGACGTAAGAGCCAATGAATAGGGAACGTTTCTTACGTAAGGAGTTAATTATTACGTTTAATCGAACTACTTTCGTCTACTCACTCCTAAATCAGCGATAATATCGTTTGTCTTTTCCGAATGAGAACAAACGGAACTAAGTTATATGAATAGTCGACTATTCATAATGAGACATAATAATGGAGTGAAAAGAACAAAAATGCGACAGTTCATCTTTCTGCCGCTTCGTATACTTCACATTAAACGTATTCATTCTATTCGACTTCATTACGGCCCATCTCTAAGTACGAACTGTCTCGTAAGAACTTTAGCGTATAGTGCCACATTTTCGTCTTTTTAATATCGTATACAGAAATCTGTGTGTGAAACATAACGACGCATTCCATTCGTTGGATAAAATTTTTCTTTCTACGCTAATGGTCTATTAGAAGACGTGGGCGCGAAGAAGAAAAGAAAGCGATGAAATATGCTTAGAAGTAAATTGTTCGCCATAGTTAATAGCTTGTAGATTTATCATCGAACTACAGCCAAGCATGCAGCTTACTGTTAACGTGGGTAACCGTTTTATTTGACATCTGGCTAAGTCTACAAAAAGTTGAAGAGTCAGGTAGTACGAATTAAGGTTGTAATAAATAAGAGTTTTCTGAAACAGCTCTTCTAAGAGATGTTTGAAAAATCAGGTCGTGTGTAAAAATTTTCCAATAGGATTGCATTGACTCGTTTTTATCGACTGAGAGCCCGGAGTCTTCTCATCAAAACACGAGTCAAGCGAGACCTTGATTTTCCGCGGTTCGGGCCTTGTATCGGATTTCCTACGAGTCTGAGCACTTGCATTCGGTGATTATTATTAGCCTTGAAAACGGATGGGCTGCAGGTAATCGATCATGTTGAGTCTCGGGGCGATACTAGTTTTTAACAAAAGTCTTAAAAATCTGGCGAAAAGCGAGTTTTACAAAAATTTGACTTTTTATGCTGTTTAAAAAATTCGCTATTCGCTCAAAAAACATCAGAACGAATTCAAAACTGTAGAATAATGTTGTCCGCTAAACGTGACTAAGAGATCAAAAAAATCGAAAAAGCATATTTTTGCTAATGGGTTTTCCAAAAAATCTTAGAAGTTTGTAAAATCTCTTTCTCACTCTTCTGTAAATGGGATATGGAATAGCCTAAATACTCAACATCCTGAAGTTTTGAACTCGGTCTGACGTTTTTTTTAAGCAAATAGTGAATTCTTTTAATTTTAGGGGAAAGCAGTCTAAAAACTCAAATTTTTGTAAAACTCGATCAATTAACTGCAGTCTGTCGATTTTCAAGGCGCAAACATATTTGAATTACAATTCCTAGTCGTCCATTGAAATAATGTCGCTGCATTCTTGTACCAATACTGGCATATTGTTCATAGTTGCTGATTGTCAAAACATGCTGAAAAATCAGGAGTAAAATCCGCCGTTGTGTACCAAGCCGTGGCACGAATAAGGCAATAAGGTGATGACGATGCCGTTCTATAGCCAGAACTTTAAAACATCTATTATAACCAAAGCACGTTGAAAGTATTTCGTTGAGACTGGTTTTCCATGCGACCTATGGAAATCCGTTTCGTAACTGTAAGCGACAAGGTAGCAATATATTGTTTTTTATCTGAATAAATAACTTAAAGTGTCCACTTCAAAGTCGGATACAAGCGCGATTTTGATTTTCGATGACTGGGACATGACATTTTCATGAAGATTCAGGAAGTTGAACTGTCAACAACAACTTTCGTCAATTCTATACCGAAGTGATTAACCAATAGGCATCGAGATAAACAGAGTGCCACTAGTGCACCACTGGACAGCACATGAGAGAAATAATAGCTGTACAAGATTGAGATACTGAACGTTCTCTAATTTAGTAAACTATATCTCTAATACTAATAATATGCGCTGTTACAGTCGTTCACTAACGGCACTCTATTTATCTAACTGTCTATTGGTTTATCACTTCTCCATACACTGCTGCCATAGAAATGATAAAGGTTGTGTACCCTCCTTGCAGTAGTATTTACTATAGCTTTTGAATGCACGAGTGATTACTTGCACAGTATATTCTAATCATCAGATACAGTACTTATTTATTCTAATCATCAGATACAGTACTTATTTATTCTAAATCCTTACGTATACGTACACGCTCAAAAGCAAGACGAACAAAATAAGAAAAATGGCTGCTGTATGTGGTACAATTAGAAGTTTAAATTTAGTCGTATTTATGGGTTCGGTTCGTATTAATCGTTTGGGCACTCCATTATTAAATTTAGTTGTGAAACAATTAAAAGCGAGAGGACATAATGTAACAACATTAGATGCGAAAGAAGAGAAGTTTCCATTACTTGAAAAACCATATCATCATTATAAAGGTGGAGATGATAAAGCTCCAGCGTGGTTGGAGAAATGGGCTCAGATATTAGGTGCAGCTGATGCTTATATTTTGGTAGATTGTGAATATAATCATAGCCCAAGTCCTGGTATGCTAAATTTATTAGATCATTTTTGGAGAGCTACGTATGGTCATAAGCCTACCTTTATATGCACGTATTCAGGACAATCGACTGGTGGTGCTAGAACAGCCTATATATTAAGAAATACGTGTGGAGAATTAGGCATGATTACAATTCCAACTCTATTTCATTTACCAGCTGTTTATTCAGCGTTTAATGAACAAGGTGAATTAACTGCACCTAGACTCCTAGCACAATTAGAGACAGCATTTAATGAACTAGAATGGTATGCAGAAATGTTAAAGAAAGCCAGAGCAACAGGATTACCAATAAAAGTACGATCAGATTGAATAGATGACTATCATAACAATTCGAATAAGCAATCAAAATTATAGTGAAAAGTTGAATATCAAGTAGTTTAATTTGTATTTATATATGTGCCTATATGTTCGTCAACAGTTTGTACATTTTTAAAAATAAAGAAGTTTTCATTAATAGAATTTAGAGTATGACATTAAATTATTGTTTATTCAGATTTGTTGTTCAATTTCGAAAATTTGCAATTTTTGTCATATCGTTTGTTATGTTTACGATCTAGCTTGTATATATAATAATACAAGCTGAAGTACCCTCCGTTGCCCGGGAAAATTCAATTTTGCATACTTAACATATTGGGAAACGATGGTCTTATGGTTTCGTATAAGTTACCGATCTTTAATGTTCCAAAACACACTCGAATTGCCTGTCACTCTCCAACTTGTTTTGCTTTTTTCGCATTTTAAAGTTTTTTAAATATTTTTATTCTTTCAATATGTTTTTTTTGTTTTATGGGCTTCTTTCATTTAAGAGAGACTGTATGAGAGACTCTTGAACACGCTACATAAAGTTGACCGTGAGAAAAGGAAGAAGTCCTTAGGTTGATATCAGCAACCTTGAGTGATTGTCCTCGAGCTTTCTTGATGAACATCACAAAGGCAAGACACACTGGAAACTGCAGACGCTTGAATTCAAAGGGCGTGTCAGTAGGACTGATGGGTATTCGTGGTATGAATACATCCTCACCCTTTGCGCAGCCTGTCAAGATTGTTGCTTCAATAACATGAGGCATCAGACTTTTCACACATAGTCTTGGTGCATCCAGGTTTCTCAAGAGCATAATGGGAGAACCAAGTTTGAGTACCAAGTTATGTGGAGGCTTCCCAGGAGGCTCGAGAGAGTTAAGAAATTCAGTGGGATACTAAGACGAGAAACACTATAGTGAATATAGTTCTGACACAAAAGAACAATAGAAAAACTGGCCTATATATGTATAGAACATCGTGAAACATTCCGAAAGTGTCATCGGATAGTATGATGTGAAAATTCCAATGACGATATATGACGCATCAGAAAGAATGTGATACATCGTGCGCTTGATGTATGCTGAAAAACAGTCGCTTTGATGAATGCTTTGAAAAATCGCTTTGAGAACTACTCTAATAAATCCTTTTGGTGAACTCTTTGAATCAGTTCTACGTTAGTTTAGGGTTAAAGAAAACTTCTTTGTAAAATGTTGTTATCGTTTTGAAACATTTTCACTGAAAACTTGATCAAAAGAATATTACCGACCATGAAAATATACTAAAACTCGGTTGATCAGCAAATTGATCAATCAAATTTGTTCATACTTCCATACCTAGAATCTCTTGTGTATAACGGCGAAAATCTCAAGTCTTTATCTCCGATCGTTCTCCGGTTATTAAGAAAATAATTGTACACTAAGACTTTTTGGACGGGACACTCACTGTAGCGTTCCAACAACAGGGCTACTGAGTACCTCGTAGGTAAAAATTTTGAATCGAAAACCTGCCCTTCACTCCGGGGGGTGGGGGGTGGGGGGGGTACAGGGGAAGGATACTCAAAAAATCGGAGAAAATTCCCCAAATTTTTTGAAAAATCAGAGAAAATTTGCTTCGGTTTTTGGAAAACCGGTCGTGAGAGCCTCATCCACTCCTCCCCTCCGTCGCGCCGACCCCGTCTTGACCTTCTCCTGAACGAAAGAGTGTGCCATGCAAAGTTTGGTTGCACTGGCTCTTACAGGGACCAAATGCATAAAGAACAAACAAACAAACAAACTTTCTTCTTTATATATATAGATAGATAGATAGATATTGAATGGTGTGCTGAATGAATATTCAGTTGTGCACCAGACAATGTTGATCTTATGATTGTGCTCTTTCCGTAATGTCGTTCAGTTAGATGGGTCTGTTCGTAACTGCAAGATTTCTCGGTAACGTAAGATCGTGGAGAGCTCGGGAAGGTCTTAAAATGACGAAAACATATGTGACTACGGGCTAATTGAGACGGATTTTTGATATTTTAGTTTCGCAAGTAATGGTAAGCGCCAAAAGTCAAAAAGCCGAAAATGTCTCATTAACTTGCATAAAGATATTTGTCGGATCACAAATCTAGACCGAATATCAAAAATCGAAGTCTATTAGTCTCTAGTCACATGTGTTTTCATCATTTTAGGACCTTCACGAACACTTCACGACGCTTCGTTATGGCGAAGTCTTGCAGCTACGAAACGCTATCACCGTGAATACTGCTTTCGAGATACGATGGAGCTAGCGCATGATGCCTGTTTTATGACTTCTAGCGAAACTTTCATAACTTTTGATCAGAACGTTGTCCAAAGTTTAGCGATGTCTCATTTTGCTCAGAAATGTTTGCTCTATATCCTGCTCTACATCCTTGAAAGTATTTTTGACATAGTTTTTTATCAGAAATGGACATTTTTCGAAAAGTCAGCTTTTTAAGCCTTTCAAAAAGCCTTTCTAAAAGCCTTCATACTCCTTCGATGGAGACCAAATAACTATGGACACCGATAGCAGACAGCACGAGTTATATGATGCTGTGTTTAGCTCAATATCGACTTTTTATAAACGAATTGTGTTCCTGAGAGAAGCGTTGGCGTGAGGAGCTAAATTTTGATTGGATTTTATAGAGAAAGCGATTTTACACATTTTTCAGTTTTTCTGAGAATTTTAAAATAAACTTTTCTGAGGTGATGCATAAATGATACCGGTGCTTAATGATTTTTATTCAAAATCTAATTTGAAGTTACGGTAAAGCTGTCTGTATAAAGACAAATAGAGAATGAAAAACTGAACAAAATGGTGTATAAGCCATACTTACCTACATATTATTAATCAAGAAAATGCACTCATATTTTGCAGTTCTCACCATCAAAGGACGTGGGCTTATAAGGGTCAAAATTTTCCCTCGATATTTCTGAACAAGAATTACATATTCACAATCAGCGTGAAATTCTGCGTCGAATGAGATAATGGGCACCTTGGAAAAACCATTTTCAGTGTTTCGGAAAATTTGTAGTCCCTATCCCACCTTTGGAACATCGAAAAAAGGTTTTACTCAGACTTTTTCTAAAGATACTTTATCTGATGCAGAATTTCATGCTGATTCTGAATATGTAACTCTTGTTCAGAAAGATCAAGGGAAAATTTTGACCCTTATAAGCCCTCGTCCTTTCAATTTTTTCTCAAAATTAGCAGCATATTTCAAATGAGCGTTAGAAACTGTATTGAAGAATCTTTGTTTCGAAATTTTAGTTATTAAATATTGGTTTTGAGAAAAAATTGAAATTTGATGTTGAAAACTGCAAAATTTGAGCACATTTTCTTGATTTTTCTCGTAATTGAATTAAAATGGATTTAGCCAATGATATGTAGAGTTTGTTTACTCAAAATATTGTAGAGCTTTTCAAGAGCTATTTTTCTATTCTAAAGACTAGTTGCATCCTTCCTTGCTTATGGGAGAAAGTAGGAAAATATGATCGCAACAAGCATGGTCAGTAAATAGATGATGCCTGAAAACAAATAATTTTTCCTTAATAATACGGTATGTAACTATGGCTCATATACCATTTTGTTCAGTTTTTCATTCGCTATTTGTCTGTATCCAGCTTTACCGTAACTTCATATTAGATTTTGAACAGAATCATTTTTGCTAAGCATTGGTGCCCTTTTTACATCATCTAAAAAAGTTTATTTAAAAATACTAAACCGGACTAGATTGGACTCAAGTTCCACGCTACTGTATTTTACTTCCCAAGTCTGTTCGCCACATAGGAACGAAAGTTATTTTAAAAATGGCTTTTTTACACCTGTATTGCATAAGCACACGCATGTGCCGCACATGGTCGCGCACATGGTCATTCAAATTATTTAACGCTCAAACAATTTTTAAGTAAAATGCATTTAACACAACCAAAACTTATTTTGCATTTTTCTTAAGACAGTTCAGCTTCACGCTATACATCGGAGGAAGTTTTTCTTTTTTTTTGATTTGTAGATAACACCTATAGCTAGGAGTTGACAGAGTCCGATTTTTAAATTATACTTCTGTTTTTTTATAGAAATGAGGAACAAAAAGAATCATCATAATTCAAAAAAATCAGAAATATCAAAATTTCAAAAATCAATCAAAATCAGATTGAATAAAAAAAAAAATCATCATAGGAAAATCATCATGAGAATCATCATCATAGGAAATCAGCACGCGATGTCAGAGATAGCTAAAGTAATATCCAGCGTGGTCTAACAGCTTCGTTCGGTCTTAATTCTTATCCAGTCTAGCAAAATGTTTCAAAAATTTTCGAAACTTGACACTAATGTAAGCATGCACTGGATATTAATATACGCCGTGTAGTAGATGGGAATTACGTTAATCCAGATTAAAACAGTCAAAATGGTTGAATGATCCAAAAATGAACTATTTTTCAACGGTAAACGTTTACCTTTCTAATTAAAACTGACACCGTTATATGCAGAATGATGAGCTCTATCCACCTATGTAATTTTTCTTACTCTATCCTAAGTATTATTACTTAGTTAATTAGAATTTAGAGACATCAAAAGACATGTCTATTTTTTTTTTATATGGATATATTATGGGGAATTATCCGAGATGACTCTATACATTCTTTATTCAATGAGTAGAATGTGATTAGTAATTTGATTATACAGGCAAGTTTCTGACCAACTCCGAAAGTCAAGATAACTTCGGATATATTTGTTGGCGTGTAAGATTAATCGTCGTTCGTTAACTTGACGTAAGTACATATGCACATATAGAAGAACATATCAAGTCAAATTTTCATTCATCTGATGGTCTCTATGCAGATAGACAAATATTAGTCTTTACAGGGTCTTAATCTATCAAAAGTGACTCTCATAGTTGATCTAAGGTGATAATGATCAATTTTGACATTCAAATGTGGCTGATTATCAAATGTTTTTCTGATCTCGGTCCAGTTTGTGTAGTATAAAAATCCACCAGCAATATCAATAAGTACATCAAGTCTGCGCAATTTGTGAAATTTATCAAGAACCTCTGCCCAATATGAACCATTGCAAATAGGAGTACACTGATGGTAGTAGTCCAGCTGTAATGAGAGATGAATGAGATTGGGAACAATTTCGTTCAAGATCGACATCGTACTGTCCCACTTGCTAAGTTTGAGATACTGCAAGTTTGGCAATGGAATTATTGGAATTTTACTAAACTCCCTGTAAAGTTGCTTGATTGATAGCGATTTCACAGTTGACGGGAGAGCCCAGAATATGTCAGAATAACAATTATCAAGAGTCAAGCATTTTAGATTAGTACAGTATTTTAGACACTTCATTGGCACACAAGGCAGATGGATTGTGTTTAACGATTTTAAACTCAATATCCCACCGATAAAAGCTTCATTTTCCATTTCGCTGCTATAAGATAACACAGACCAATAAATCTTTACTGTTGACAAGTAAGGTAGGATAGCTAACTCTGGCACGATATAAATAAAATCACGCTTACAACTGATCATGAGTTTCAGTGTTCGAAGGTTTTTAAAGTGTGTAACATTGATCTCGACATTACCAGAAAGAGTCAACGAGATGACCTGATTACAGTGTGGAATAACAATATTCGTCCAGTAATATTGAACAAATTCATCCTGCTTAATGGATGACAGATCGACAGTCAGTGGCAAAGTGCAAATCAGGAAATTGAGTCGTTGATTCAAATCGAAAAATGATACTGCAACTTCAATTGATGTCAAATATTCGAAAAGCATTAGCCACAATTCATTTGGACAGTCTTCAATGCGACTAACAATATCTAAACTAGTAGATTATTATCCAATGAGTGGAACCCTAATAATTGAGCACTTCTCCGAATAACTTTTTTTACGATACTTTTTCCGATAAATATTATAATAAAAAACCAAACTCAGTCGTTAGAAAATTTCAGTCTCTACAAAATAGTGTACTCAAAAGTAATCGCTGCTGAAATATGTCACAAAAAACTTAATTGTTTCAGTCTCTTCGCTAATGAAAGCTGAAAAGAGAACATACTAAATTACTGATCTCTTGTTTTCTTCTATACATACTTATTCGACAATTGAAAGCAATTTAAACATTCCAATTTCTTTTTGTTTATTACAGTGGGAGATCGTTTTGAGTACACAATTGCGGAGAGAATTCAATTCTGTTTATCGATTAAGTTGGAACATTTACGGAAAAAAGATGCGTTAGAAATTTTTTTAGAAAAGTGCTAGATCAGTCAACAATCACCTGTTATAACGAAATACGTCGAATAACACATACCTTGTTCTAATGTTACTTTTTTTCCACCTAAATTCATCTTCATTCTTATATAATTTATCTAGTATTTCACAGTGAGAAGTTACAATCCAAACGGTACTAATGAGTTAAATGCAAAACGTACATATACAATAGTTCTAGAATAGAAAGAAAATAATCATGCATGTTTATGCAATTTTATACGCATTTTTTTGCATTTTAAGGTGAATTAGTAATTTGTTCTTTACTTTTATCGGTGGAATGGTTTTACCTTCACACGTACACGTTGTTTTATCAAGAAAATAATAACAATGACTATTTTTGTCCTCTAAAATATCAGAGATTACACATTTAAACAACGTTTGAAGACCATAAGGACAATATTAAGAATAGAATTTACGAATAAATCCGGCTAACATATTTAATTTAATATAATTTTAAAAAAAATACAATCACCAACTGTTGATAACCATTGCGTGAATAATCTTATTTTCTTTGTTTATAATGTTACTATTTTGCTATCCGATTCTTGTGATATGGAGGGATGCTGACAAACGAATGAAATCTGCTGAAAATGTTATAGGGCTTTTATTTGAATCAGACTTTATCTAATTTATTATTTTCTTGTTCTGGTTACTGCACGAATGTGAATATTTTGCTTTTTATATTTGAAACAGAGCTAAAATACTCAATGGAGAAAAGTCGGCATTTTGGACATATGTTTAATACAAGGTATTCCAAAAATCCGCAAGAAAAAACGCCTTGAATATCTTCGTCATTTCTTAACTATAAAATTCAAGGTTATTTTTTTGTTAGATAGAGAAACACTCCAAATTTTACTCGATATATTTCGAAATTTTTTGTTAATTCTTGAAAAAAATGTTTAGGTTTATCATGGCGAAATTCAGGTTTTTGGGAACTTTTTTTTAATTAAATTATGTGCTGAAAAACGTTTTGAATGAAACATAAATTATTTTTAATATTAAAATAAAGTAGATGATTTCCCCTTTCACGTAACAAAATAATTATTTGGTTTTGTTTAAAAATGACTGGTTAGTGTGAATTTCTCTAGCATGGTTGTTTCACACTAGTAAACTGCAACCTGGGAAAATTAAGATATTCTTTTCAAATAAAGTTAACTAAGAAAAAGAAAAACTGCCAGTGGAATTTTATACAAAGATGGCAGCCTTACAAAGTGAAATAGTTTGAAGGTCTGTAAGAAGTCGAATCAAGCTATTGCAGAAGCCCCCATATGCAGATCATATCAATGTGGAGAAATTAACTTCTTATGGCAAAATTTTAAGTTGAATAAAACATTTGGATATGTGCAATTGTAGAGCAACTCAAGTTCTACAAAATAAGATGTAGTACGACTCTGGTAAAGATTCTGTTTAATTACAACAAGTTCAATCATCTTTACTCACTGTAATAAGTACGTATAGAAAAAATATGTGTTGCAGATTTTATTATTATTCCGTAGTAAATGTTTTTATACAAAAAATTTTCAATCATATGAAATAAAATTTAGAACGTTCCTCTATCCAACTACAAAAAAATATCTTGAAGTTTAGTTAAGAAATGACGAAGATATTGACTTTTTTTTGTCGTGCGGACTTTTAGAATACCCTGTAAATCGAAAATAACATATCGAATAAACTGCTATAATCGAAAGTTTTGCTACAACAATGAATCAACAAAAAAATATTAAATCTTCTTCATCATCTACTTTAAAAACGATTTGACATCTCCTGCAAATGGTACGGATGGTACACCTCTAACGCCAATATTCTTTACAACAAATAATGAACCAGCCAACGGTGCAAAATCAAAATCTTTCTTATTTTCACTTGCAGCACATGTTATATACAAATCATTTAAATCACTTCCACCAAATGCACAACTTGTAACAAATCTTACAGGTAAATTAATTTCACTTAACTCTTTTTGTTGTCGAGGATCAAATTGTCTAACTTTAGAACCATTCCAAAATGCAATCCATAAATTATCATTTTCATCTATGGTCATACCATCAGGTGAACCATATTTTGATTCTTCAAATTCAAATATAACACGACGATTACTAATTGTACCATCATTTAAATTATAATCATATGATACAACATTGTATTCGAATGTATCAATGTAATACATACAATGACCATCTTTGCTCCAAACAATACCATTACTTATACTAACTCGATCTAATAATTTTGTTACGTTATATTTTTCATTTAATGAATATAATGCACCTGTGTGTTTTGTTTTAGCATCTACATGCATTGTTCCAGCAACTAAACGTCCTCGTGGATCACATTTTCCATCATTGAAGCGATTGTTAGGAAGATGTGATTCCGGATCAATACCAGTATAGCTAACTTCACTGGTTAAAGTATTCACAAAGTAGTAACCATTCTATGAATAGAAAATGGGAAGATGAGGTACTTAGAGATGATCTTAATCTAAGTAACTTACAGCACAAGGAACTAAAACTATTCCTTTCTCTTTTGTTTGTACAACTGTTCCTGGTGGTTGTGGTAAACGAATACATTTTTCCTCGTTTACTATCGGGTCATAAACAAATAATTTTTGTCCAGTAATATCAATCCAATATAAAATCTGTGCTTCGTTATCCCATAACGAACCCTCGCCTAATTGAATATAATCATCGGATTGATTTGGTTGACAACCACGATGTACAACTTCAACTTCTTTATTATCGCATCGAAGAACTGTTGACATTTTTACAATAAAAATTAAATTTTATTTGACTTTAGAATCACCTTATCATCAAAGTGAAGGACTAATAAGAACAAAAAACAAAATGTTTTTATTCTTTTCTTTTCTTCTAGCACACATAAACACACACACGTTTAGTTTTTCTCACATTTCTTCAATAGTCTAAAGGATGAAATCGTATACAGACACTTGTGTATAAAAATTTGCCACACGTTAGTAACAGTGATTTATTACTAAAAAGCGTCTCATAAAACCTCACAATAAACTGAAAAACCTGACGTTCCTACAAGTTTTAATTGTTCTGCTTAGCCCACTTTCATCTGTCCTTCATCAGCAGTACGTGAGGTTTTCATCATATGAATGACAAAGATATGCTTTACCATCGACAAGACGATTTCTCTTACGACTATCTTCGAGCACCTGTTATTATGTTTACTTGTGCGTACCGAAGATCGTCACGGCTCGGACCACACCTGGCCAACCATTTTGAAACTTGTTTATGGGCTGCACATTGATGGTTCTCATGTGAGCCCAGCCTTTTCCCAAAAAGCTGATAAAATTACAGGACAGCATCGACAGGCAACACTGACATTAAACGTGGATAAAAGACACTATCTTCTCTTGAAAATATCACTTGTGGACAAAATTTATGCGTTCTCTCCGAGCCGGAGCGGTCCTGAACGATCACTGGTGCGTATCGACTGTAGTCAGACGAAAATTCTGTTCGTGTCGAACTCTTCAGTCTGTTTTGAATCACTGAACTAAAAGAAAAGGAAAGGACAGAACCGGCTTTAACCTCTTATATTTGAATTCAATTTAGTAACATTGCTCAGTAAAGTCCTGATCATAATGAACATGCAGTTATTTACCAATCTGGGAACATGTCAAACGTCGAAATAGAATCCTTCGAATAGATTGCCTTTCATCGTAGAGATCAAATCTTATATAATATCTGAAAGAATCTTATGAATTTCTTAATAAAGCAGTCGGCGGAAATGCGTAAGAGATTGATAAGAATCTTATAGGAAGGATATAGTACAATTTCATCACATTCTTTAGTGCTCAGTACCCTATATTCTAATTTCTTACTATAATCTACTGTTTCATACTTGAATAAAATAATTTTCTTTCCACTTATTTAATTTTTCTATAATAAGACCTTTGTCTCACGTGTACAGTCTCATGACTCGTCCTCATTGTCTACTGTTTGTAGACCGGCTTTACTTCCTCAAATCTATCATGACTATAGGAAGAAAATGAAGAACGAAAAATAAAAATATATGAGACAAGAATGCAGGGCACGATATGTAGCTCGTGTGCATAAATCCCACTTTTGTACAATTACTAACATGACTCATCATTCAATAACCAGTAGTCAAAGAAAAGAATTTCTTGATTCTTGCAACAGAGAATGTATCTTCGATAAACATTTTCATGAATTGTTTCTAGCAAAATATAAATCTCTCTCAATATAATTCTGACAAAAGTCTGGTACTTCTATATGTGAATTCATAGCATTGTATAGGTTCCTAAACGATTCACAACAAAGCGGGCCTAGCCCATTGTATGTTGAGAGAAAGTGAAGCGACAAAGTAAAAGAGAGAAGAAAGAAAGAAAACCTAATTTGCATGAGAGAATCATTAAAACAATACATATAAAAGCCCATAACCGAAATAAAAACAGCGATCCGCTAATCAGTGATCACTAACGTATACAGTTCAACTTTTAGATTATAACTCGTTTTCAAATGCATTTTTGGGATGAAATGGCGTTAATACTTATTTGTATTGCTATTATCGTCGTTTCGTTCTTAACTATATTTGAGAACTTTTGGGAATTTACGTGAATTTTAGTGAATTCAGGATAATTTTGAATTTATTTGAATTTAACGGACTAAATTCAGCTGGTTTCCCTTTGGTTATAGTGCTGAAAAAGATCGACGATTTCTCGTTCATCCTGCGCCACAGAAATGATTTTCTGAATTTTTTTATAATTTCTGAGACCGTCGTATTTGATGGATACCTCAAAAGAGAGTTTAGATAAAGGACAACCGACGGTTTCTGCAAGAAAACCGCCCTATATATTTTTGAGAAGATAACGACTGGAACTGATCAGAAACCGTTCGTTATTTAATTTGTAATTTTTCTGCGCCTTAAAAGTTGATTGTAGACTACCATATGCTGAAGTTTTTAATCATTTCTGAGCAATGGTCCAGAAACTGTATTTATTCATTTTTCTCTGAAAGCCCGACGTTCTTAATAGAATCTTATACACGGAAACATGCGTAATTAAACGGGTTTTAAAATGATATGTAGCACACCTTTTCAAACTAATGTCTTCATAGATGTATTGGACAAATACTTGACAGGCATCCCGATTTTAACCGAAGCGGCAGACAAACTTTCGAAACAATGTGTTATAACTCATTGTATAGCTCTTTCAATTCTGCATCTTTCTATGTATAAATCATTCCGGGTCTGAGGATGCTGACAAAAGTAGAATCAGTTTTTGTCGGCGACTACGTGTAAAATCGAGGTATCTGTCAAGTATATGTCCAATACATCTATGAAGACATTAGTTTGAAAAGGTGTGCTACATATCATTTTAAAGCCCGTTTAATTACGCGTGTGTTGGTGTATAAGATTCTATTAAGTTCCTGTGTTGTTTTCTGAGGAAGCTCATGTTGCTCCACAAGAACTACATGTTTTTGCTGAAAAAATCGATGTTTCTCCACAAGAACTGTATATTTTTCCTCAAGATGTCGGTGTTTGTCTACAGGAACTTTATGTTTTTTTCTGAGGAAGTCGATGTTCCTCCACAAGAGAACATCGACGTGAAACTAGAAAAAGAACTACGTGTTTTTCCTGAAGAAATCGGTGTTTCTTAACACGAACTCTTTTTTACGCTTTTTGCTGGAGTAGCCTATGTCTTCCTTTTTTTTGTCTCAATCATCTAATATATTCTCCTGAAGAAATCGGTGTTTCTAAACACAAACTGTTTTTGTGTAGAACGGTTTTTTGGAGTAGCCGATGTCTTCCACAAGAACACGTTACCCAGGAAAAACCGTCTTTCACTAAGAAATCGGTGTATCTCAATCATGTCGTGTTCTTTCCCGGAAAATTCGGTGTTTCGCACAAGATCTTCATGTTTTTTCCTGGATAATCGGTGTTTCTCCAGAAGAACTTTACGTTTTATGCTTGAAGAACTTCATGCTTTTTTCTGAGGATGTCGATGTTGCTGCAAAAGAACTCCGTGTTTTTGCCGAAGAAATCGGTGTTTCTCCACAAGAACTCAATGTTCCCCGCAAGAACTTCATGTCTATCACTGAAGAAATCGGTGTATCACAATTATTACTCAAGCTTTCTTGTTTAAGATAAAGTTCATATTTGTGATCTGGATGAAAATCTGAACCAAACTATACATAATTCAATTAGTTTCTTCAATATTTTCTCACACCTCTGAAGCAGAAGCGTAGGTGAACGACATCATTTTATTCATATCCTTTCGTGTATTCTTCACCAATATGGTATGAGGACTGACGACTAACCCATGAGGGTAATTTTTGTTGAAAACTTGCGATATATCGAGATATTATGCTAAATGTGCTGAAATATCGCGATAATGAGCAACTCTGTCGCGATATAAAAGTGAGTGCAGTTTATCGCAGTCTCTCGATAAAACGCAGTAGGCAAAACTATCGCAGTATAAAGTCATTTAGCGTTGTAAATACCAGTATGTCAATAAACCGCGATTAATATTTATCGGACTTTATCCTGATAAAAGTACTATCGTTATATGCGTGATCTTTATCTCCAAAAGCAAAAGTATCGCGATAAACTCCAATAGATTTTTATCGAGTATTATCGTGATAAAAGGGTCATCT